GAGAGAGTACAATTCAGAGGCAGACAGCAGTGAGGAGGCGATTGCAACCACCCACCCCTGGGTAACATATCAGATTTGACAGGTTTCTTCCGTCTTGTACGGGTTGGCTGCTCACTGCCTCTGGTCCCCGGCCTATCCTGCGCTCGCTGCTATCAAATTCAAATGAGCTCTTATTTGTTAAAAACGTCCCACTTAAATCCTGCTAAATGAAACAACTGCACCACCTGCTGTCTCAAATGTCACCCTGCACTGACTCCAGTAACAGCAAAGGATACTGGGTAATATTCAGTGTGGTAATATTGTGGTGTGGTAGTAGAGGACCTTCCTACTTTGTCCTTGACCATAAATGCTGGAGCTGTGACTGTAAACCTCACAGCACTGATTTAAAGAGCCAGCAGACGTCACCCAGAGGTTACAGCTGCTGGGCCCCAGTCTGACTCATCACTGTGAGCCACAGCCCGCACTAAACAACCAGACCGCTGAGCAGCTGTTTTCATGCAGCGTTTGAAGAACACAAAGTCTGTATACTCTGATCTTAGTTCAGTAACACATCATGTATGAAGTTAAATAAAATGTCCCTTACTTTTCCTCTTCTTTGCATCTTTCTCTATCTCTGAGTGTCTCACCCCGTGTTTCTCTCCCTCTGAACTACAGCACACATGTTTAGTGTCAAACGTCACATAAGCACTTTGTGTGTTTGCTGATGTTTGTTGAGCTGTTAGAAAGGTTGCTGTTGAACTTCCCTGCTGTTTGCTCCTCTTCTGCAGCGCTAACTGGATGCTGAACAATGCTTTGCGACTTTACATCTGCACCATGAACGCATCAACAGTGAGGGTGTGAGTGGAGTGTCGCTATTTTCTTATTGCTGAGTAAACATCTGTAGAAGAAACGCCAGGCTGCAGTTCACAAAACCTCCTGGACAGCTCCATGTTTCCTCTCTAACATCAGTCTGCGATGGTCTGATGAAGGATTCCAGCTGTTCAGCAGTCCTGGCTCTGCTTCGTCCTGTTGTTGCTTACATGATGCTCCAGATGTTGTCTGCTGGTCAGAGGTCTGGACTGCAGGCGGGCCGGTTCAGCGGCCGTGTGGCTGGGACAGATGCAGTCTGCGATTTTGTCCTGCTCAAACACGAAGGCCTCCCAGAGACACACGTCAGCACGGAGCAGGTGTCAGAGCAGATGTTCCTCTAACACCTGTTTATACCTTTGAGCAGTGATGGAGCCTTTCCAGATGTGCCAGCTGTCAGCTCCGATGCCCCCCATGAGAGCTGCAGGCTTTGACCTGAGCTCTGATGTCGTTAGTCCGGAGGATGTGGAGTCCATTTTTGGCTCATAAGTAGAATAAGTAATCATAAATATAAGTAGTAATAAATAACGTTAAATGATTGGTCAAAGCATTAAAATTATGTTTTAAAAACTACAAAAAAAATCTCCGCCTACGAATCCCAGAATGCCCCTGTGCGAGGAGCAGCCGGCTCCACGTGCTCGGAGGTTTAAACGAGCGGCTGCAGCGCAGAGAAGGGGCGGGAAAGTATGTCACTGGGGCACGAGGCTCTCCCCGCGGTCACATGGTCCCGTTTTCTGCCGCGTGCGGGCACGGCGGCCCCCGCACATTCATCATCATCATCAGTGTCCTGCTGCGCGCGCCTTGTTTCAAAACACACAGGCAGGCAGACAGAGGCGCGCGTGCAGCAGGACGGATCGCTTGGTTCCGCGTGCAGCAGGAGCAGTAGTTTGAATTCACAGAATAAGACCCCGCTTCTTCTTCTGTGGTGGTTTCTTCTCCCACGTCTCCGAGCCTGGGATGCGTGCGCAGCGGTAGCTTTCTGGGACTTTTAAACGAGGGTCGCGTGCGTGACTTTTTCTCGGATGTCACAGTGACCACCGCTGCCATGGACACGAACAACAACAACAACAACCCAGGTAAATACGTCCCCTACTCTGCACCTCGCGCTTACATTAGAGCTGATAAGAGCGACGCTGTGCGCGTGCGGCACATTTATTTTGACTTTTAACAGTGCCGATTGGTCCGCGTGCGTGTGAGGGTCTCTGCTGCTGCTTCAGGGGTCGAGTTTTAAAAGTTGTCGAATTTTACATGGTGTCTGGCAGCAGCGCGGGGTGAAGGCTGAGACGAGCAGGTTACTGGTCGATGAGTAGAGGATTATCGTTAGTATCGGACCACAGGTCGAAGCTTTGAGCACCTGCGGCTGTGTGGCGCGCGAACTTCTGTTCCGGTGTTTGTGTCCGCGGTACAGGTTCTCTCAGCGAGGGGGGCTGGAGCACCGGGTTCAGGTCCAGACCAGGTTCGGGACCCCGCGTTGCCCTCACTGCGGTCCCAGTGAGCAGTTGTCCGTGGCCGGGTTTCTGGAAAAGCGGGTCCCGCTTGGCACATGTCCGGCGGTGGTCACGGGGACTGTGTACGTGACTGTGCCCGTGTGTTCGGGTAAGTGGGTCAGGGTGCCAGCGGTCACGTCGGAGGGTGGACAGGTGTCAGGTGGACC